TAGTCACATGTTGTCGTTGTACAAAGGCACTGAAAACTGTTCATTGTCATGTCACATAAGGCCACAAGGTTGCGCTGAACTCAGCACCTCGTGTGACCGCCCTGGGCAGCAATCACGGCTCAGCATCTCATCGGCTCTAACTGGATAAGTGTACGAATTCTGTCCTGCGGAATGCTGCGCCATTCTGCTTCTAACGCGTTGGCCAGTTGTGGGAGTTTCTGCGGCGTGTTCTCACGTTGACGTACACGTCGATCGACTTCATCCCAGAGGTGTTCGATTGGGTTGAGATCTGGAGATCTCGACGGCCAGGTCAAGTCGTTGATGTTGGCATTATGAATGTATTGTACCGTGCCACGAGCTGTGTGCGGTGAAGCGTGGTCACCATGACACCTCCCACACCATGACACTAACGCCACCGAATTGCCGAATTCACGTACACAATGTGGGGCGACGACGATAAACACGTTGTCTTCCATCTCGCCGGTGAAGAAGAAATCGTGATTCATCGCTAAACCACACTCGTTCATAGGCTGTAAGGTATGGCACCAACGCAAGCGTCGCTGTCAATAGATCTGTTGCAAAACAGGGACGATAACTGGTCTTCTGGGTCGGATTCCAGCCCGCGAAGATGGTTGCTGACAGTCTGGTCCGATATCCTCCTCAAACCAGGGATGCGTCCTGCAGTCTCCGTAGCTGTGACATTGCGATGACGTAGGTGGAACAGTCGAATGTAGCGATCCTGTGCAGGCGTGGTAACTCTTGGTCGACCGGTTCTCCGACGGTCTGCAGCGGAATTGAGGCGGCAAATGGTGCTGTGGTGGACGTTGAAGTGGGGTGCAACAGAAGACTGCGATTCCCTCTTTGGACACTTCCTGTGGCGATATTCCGATCGGCAACGTTGAGTCTGGGCATTTTCGAACTTGAAAAATGTTGACGATTGAATGACAAATTATTGGCTTATGCTTGCCTTTTAATAGCCTCTACCACGAGGTACGAATGCCATAACTAGCACGTGCATTTTGCTTTACTGTTTTTCTCCATGACATTTTTGAACAAGTGTGAAAACAATGCCGTTTAAGACACTGCAAATCAACAATGGCTGCGTTTTGACGCACCGTTTGTCGAATATCAGGCCACCAACATTTTCCAATAACAATATGCAATTTATATACCGGATTTTTTGTGTAGTCAGGTTCAATGGACTGCATACTACCTGTGCGTTTCCTTTTTTGAAGAGTGTATGTAGTTCCGAGCCCTGCCAACGTAGCATAGCGACAGTGTCCTGAAGTTGGTGGAATAAATCGCTATATCAACTCTCAACTACAATATTCAGAGAAAGAAGCATGGTAAAACTGAACGATCGTGTCATTTATGTAAATTATCATTGATTTGACTGGAGTTGATTGATTTATGTTGCAGTGTAATAAGATCCGGACAGCGAAGCAGTAGAATGATGTGCAGGTATTATACATTCACTATTACAAATCAATATTATGACATGAGTATACGATTGAAACGAAACAGACACCAAAGAAACTTGAGACGATGGTTGTCATAAAAAAACAGTCCTTTTACGGTTAATGTTTAAAATTCTATTGTTTGCCCACTTCACACATACGTTCAAGTTGACGATATAATTATCTATTCATCAGGAAAGCACATTGAGACTGTACATGTGTCAACGAGAACTGCCTTTCCCCATGACTCGCGGTGACACTAGTATATAGAGTCAACCTGGTATCTGATATAAAAACAGTCATCCTATTTGTTTATTTTGCATTATCGGATAAAAAAGATATTTCATACATTTTATCTCAACGTGATCTTTGTTTCAGCTGTAAAATGTTCCTTAAAGGGGAACTCTCCTCAACTAACTGGTGTCATTGATAAGACTTTGTAGTTGGAGGTGAGGTGAAATGAGGTTTAACGTCGCGTTCAAGATTATTGCACTTACATAGCAACGTTTGATGCACTTGTGTGTGTGTTGTAATTGTAGTGAGTGAGTGAGTTGGGTTTAACGCCGCTTTTAACAGTATTCCAGTTATATCGCGGCGTGTCAGCTTAATCTGGGAGGAAAGCCCGAAGTGATGCAGGTCTCAGACGTTTACCACTTCGGTGAAATCCACGAGCACGGGTATGGTGCTGACAAAGCTAGAAACATAATCGGGGCGAACCGGGATTCGAACCCACAATGATATGTTTTTGGCGTGCCCAAGGGACGCAGCTCTGCACAGCGAATCGCGGCGCCTTAGATGACTAGGCTACCCGTGTCCCCTTGTAATTGTAGGTTGGCAGGATTCGAAATCGTGGCCAAATGCCGAGTTACTGCTTGTACTAGCCCACTGAGATACCATGCCGCAGTTTAACATGAATACCCCACACAGACACAATTTACTGACGCCGAGCCGACCAGTCCTTGTTTTATCCCCTAAATACCGAACTCCAGGCAGAGTTACAACAAGTATCATCTTTTAAGGTCTTTTGGTATGATGCGGCCTTGGATCGAAACCCCGACCTTCCGCTTTCCGGGCCGTAGGATTCTAGACCCAGGCAAACATCTACGCGTTAATTAACTGACTTGGACCCATACGTTATTGGTAACAAGTTTTATCTTTTAACGTCTTTTGCGTGATGCAGATCCCCGGACCCACCGCTCTCCGCTTCACCACTTGACAACAGAGGTGGTCGCATTTTAGTGGAAACACTGTACCAAAGAAATCATATGGAACCTAAACCTAGACACGGTCATTGCCGAAGTGCTCTCTGCTGTTAATATCCCTGGCACAACAAACCTTTGGAATGAGTGGCGTTGTTTTTCAAAGGCATGATCATGTGCCGATAGTGGCCTTGCAGTCAATACGAGACCTTCTGTTCTAACAATCGTTATATCAATCTCCTGCAGAACCTTGTGGGGAAAAAGAATCAAGCGTAAGTCAGAAAAAGAAACGTCGATCGTTGTGTGATACCATTTACTTCTTCATGTGACCAATCATATTTTCTTATTTGTTAATATCGTACTTGATTATCTGAATATTGTATCAAATTGCTTTGATAATCTAAAACGTTTTCATTCTGGACAATTCAAGACAACTTTAGGCATCAAAATGCGTTTAAGTTATCGGACACACTGGGTTAACAAATAAATACTCAGCTTATACTGGAAACTTTAATGATCTGTGGTAACGGTCAGCGCACAGCTGCCAAGTACAACTCCTACAATGTGTTACTTATTACAATAATCACGTCACTGACGTGGTTACTGCACACTACGGAGCCTGTGCTGGCACTGTGATGCAGTTATATAACCAAATATGGTAATCTTCCATTTACCTATGACCGAACATTTAGAAACATATGAAACATGGGATAAATAAAAAAATCTTGTCATCTGGATTTCAAGGTAATATATGATCAGCATTTATGATTACTGCGCTCATCAGAAAATACATGAAAACGATGACCACATCTGCCAACCTCTGTCATATATGTTCATACTCACTTTTATTTCATGACCTGCGTAAAATACTGAACTGCAAGAGAAACGTCACCCCAAGTAACATTGCATGAAAAGTTGTCATTTATATATCTTGGTAATTTTTGTCAAAGTTTCTCAAATTTAACATCACCTTGTCCGGAAAAATTAAATTTGATGATAACAAAACAAAGCAGGTGACAATAAAACCGATCGCCCAAACGCATCACGGCAACGGCCATGGTAACCCGATGCACGTGAGTTCCGTGCAAATTGAAATGCACATGCGTCCGACCATTTCTTGCCCTATAAAAATCCATCCAGATGGGATAACATTCATTCGTTACTGAATTGCTACCACATGCCAAGATTGACAAGCAATCAGCGACACCAAGCCCTTGGACGATTGCAAGCTGGACAAACCGCCCGGCAAGTAGCCAATACATTGTAAGTCCACGTAAGGACCATATACAGGCTCCAGCAATGGTACTAGACCACCAACACTACAGATGACCGACCAGGTAGTGGAAGACCAAAGGTCACCACCCGACGTCAGGATCGTCAGATTGTGCGACAGCATCTTCAAGATCGCTTTGTTACTGCTGCGGAAACATCTCGACAGACCATGGGGACACACCAGCGACACATTAGTGCGTACACCGTGCGTCGACGATTGTCGAGAATGCACCTCAACTGTCATAGGGCACACCGAGGACCCATTCTGACACCACGTCATCGCTGGGACCGTCTTCAGTGGGCAACACAGCACCAGCATTGGCGCCACCAGCAGTGGAGAAGAGTCCTCTTCTCAGACGAGAGCCGGTACTGTATCTCAACAGCAGATGGCAGAGAGAGAGAGAGAGAGTCTGGCGACGCCGTGGCGTCATTCGGATGCTTGTGTTATTGAGAGAGATTCGTGGGGTGGTCTGAGCATCATGGTGTGGGGTTGAATTGGTCTTGCACAGAGGGTCGGCCCTGTGGTCTTCCAGGACATCGGTCCAGGGAGAGGCAATGGTGTCACAGCAACTCGATACATTGATCAAGTCAGTAGACCACAAGCCATACCTACATTTGGCACGTCGCCGCAACCACGAGTTTCAGCATGATAACGCCCGCGCCTACACTGCGAGAGCAACAAGAGTCTTCCTCCAGCAGAATGGCATCAGAACCATGCAGTGGCCTGCCCTCAATCCTGATTTATATCCCATAGAGCACCTGTGGGACGAGATTCAAAGACGGCAGAATGACGTCCGACCAAGGCCGACAACTGCAGCTGAACTGCGTCAGGCGTTCTTCAGAGTGTGGGCTCAAGTGCCTATGGCCTTCTTCAACCGCCTCATCCATTCCATGTATCGACGTTGCACGGCAGTCATCAATGCACATGGCGGACACACGAGATACTGACTTGTGATGCCATTTTCTCAGAGACGAGTGTTGTGTTTCACTTTAAGAACATTTGACACTTTAACTTCCACCTAGATGATCAGTTTTGCCAAGTTTCATCTTTTTAATATGTCTCAAAGTATGTTTACAGTGTTTGGACAAATAAGGTTTCTCATATATCTATCCATGGTGACGTTTCTTTTGCGGTTCAGTATATATGCATATGGTACACTTCAAACGTTGGTCACTTGGACCTCGGATTACACTTCCATTACCGAGTATGTATAAATCTGGAAATTACTGTCCCTTCGTGTGGTGATTCGATTTGAAAATGATTATATGAAGCAAAATTCTTTCGACATCACACCCTACATTCATATCTGTTTTTCTATTGCATTATAGATCGGTTTTAAAGACACAAAACAATTAGCATACATACTATCGGTCCACCGTTTCCCCCAGTTTCGTGATGACACTAAGGATTTGTTGTCTGTCTTATGAAATTTTGAAAAATTTAAGGTATTGCGAGTTTTTGAGAAAACCACGGTTGTCGATTTCCTTCCCAGTGAGAAGAAACGCAATAGTCTTTTTATCATAAAATATTTTCTAACAGGTGAGCCACAGCCCATCTAGGTTGAACAGCACTCAAACTTGACCTTTTCCCATAAAGAGGCTGACGTTTTGAAATCATGGAAAAAAAGGACATCATTTACTGAACTTTCATAGTCATTGTCTGAAAAACCTGCTTTGGCAGCTTTGTGTGTTTCAAGCAACTGTTTGTGACCAATTCCAGCCTTGTGTGCAAGAATACCTGTGACGTAAACATCATCTATCCAATAGAATCGCGTATTTTCAGACGCTTTTGTCAACCTTTTCGCTTCATCCACTGATAAAATATAGGCCATACCTTCACAGTAAGTGGGGAAAAAATCGAAAGGATATTCCTCCCTACTGGTTATCCATTTCCCTTCTTTTCGAAATGGACGACCAGTCTGTAAAACTGTGCAGTACAAACTGTTGTGCAAGTGTCCAGTAGTTAGCGAAAAGTTTACCAATTTGAAAATATTGACAAACACGTCATCGTCAATTTTGACAATAGTTCTCACGTCATGACATTGAGTAGTTACCCAATGAAGAGCCATTATATGTTTATACGTTAGGTTCTTGTAACTGTCTTTAAAATTTCCTTGAACAATGTCTCCAAACAATATTGACTCTTGGACAATTTCTTGTTGAATGTTGTTTCGTTCTCCCATCATGAACACACACACAACTGGCATATTTCTAAACGTGGTCACTGATCCCCATGTGTTTCGTATAACACTTCGTTTCTCAACATTGCTGGGATCAGAATGTACAACAATCAAAACACCGATAGAAACATTGAGACACTGTCTCGAATTCAAACCAAACACGAAGCTATGTTTGTTCAACAGTTTGTCCAATTGATTATCGTTCTTGATAATGAACCAAGTCATGATCAGATTCAGCAGTTTCTTGAAATAAAGGCCCATGAATTTATTCTTTCCGTGTGACTCTTTTTTTACTGTGCCAACGCTACTGTTGTTACTGGCTTCATTGCTGTCCCGGGGGAACCACAGAAGACAAGCATAGAAGCAGGTCAGAAGTACTATTGCCAGAAGCACTTTCTTTCTTCTTTGTCTGCTGCATGGTGTCAACTTCATCATGGTGTTGTCATCTTCATCATAGTGTTGTCATATTCATCATAGTGTTGTCATATTCATCATAGTATTGCCATCTTCATCATGGCGTTGTCATCTTCATCATGGTGTTGCCAAATGCATCATAGTGTTGCCATCTTCATCATGGTGTTGTCATCTTCATCATGGTGTTGTCATATTCATCATGGTGTTGTCATATTCATCATGGTGTTGCCAATTTCATCATAGTGTTGCCATCTTCATCATGGTGTTGTCATCTTCATCATGGTGTTGTAATATTCATCATGGTGCTGTCATATTCATCATGGTGTTGCCAAATTCATCATAGTGTTGCCATCTTCATCATGGTGTTGTCATATTCATCATGGTGTTGCCAATTTCATCATAGTATTGCCATCTTCATCATGGTGTTGTCATATTCATCATGGTGTTGTCATATTCATCATGGTGTTGCCAATTTCATCATAGTGTTGCCATCTTCATCATGGTGTTGTCATCTTCATCATGGTGTTGTCATATTCATCATGGTGTTGTCATATTCATCATGGTGTTGCCAAATTCATCATGGTGTTGCCATCCTCATCATGGTGTTGTCATCCTCATCATGGTGTTGCCAATTTCATCATAGTGTTGGCATCTTCATCATGGTGTTGCCAAATTCATCATAGTGTTGCCATCTTCATCATGGTGTTGCCAAATTCATCATGGTGTTGCCATCTTCAACAAAGTATTGTCGTCTTTATCATTGTGTCGTCTTCTTCATTTGATCTGCAAAATCAAGAATAGAAATGTCAGACAACAGCAATTGTATGTATTTGAACCAACTACATGTTATCTACAATTGTTTGAACAGAAATAACAGATGAAGTAATGAGTACTATGTCAGAAAGCCTTTTGTGCCCAAATGTCTATTATGTCGTTTCGTTATTCAATTCCACTTTTGTTATACTCGATTTCGTTGTCTTTACCATTTTCTAATTTCCATATCTACCAAAATGGCAGCCTCCAGCCAGGAGTGTTGACCATGTGCTTGACCAACAGAAATACAGTCTCTTGTGTTAAAAACAACCAGCTTTGGCGTCCTATATCCACCACGAACCGCCCATCCCTCACCCGTGCATCCAAGTTGTACATTGCTTGGCGGCAAACGCCAGTGTTGCGGTCATAATCGATATTGTAATGACTCCTCGGGGCAGCTTACCCTATCTAATTTCATAGAGACCAAGTTTCTTGTTTTTCTTCAAGGCACTTTTTATGGTGCTTAACCTACAAAGAAATCGGCACCACAGATCCTGGTTACTCCTTACGTTAAGCTATTTTCAATGAACCTCAACATTCCAATCCTACTTATGTGTCATCCGAGAAACATCTTGTTATCGTAAAGATGTTTTAATGCCAAGTTCAAATATTTATAACGCTGACTTAGATCAATCTACTATCCTTGTACTGTTTGTTTACTTCCACGAACTACAATACTACTTTTACTGCCATTCCGCAATGTTTTACACTCTCTGTGATTAGCAGACTATGGAACGGGTACCAACAAACCTAAAACGAACGACTCCGTTCAGAACGCCCCAGTTCAACGCGAACAGACAGACAGTTTATTCAGTAAGAAGGCCATAGGCCCATCATACAGACAATGGTTGATTGCATGAACTACGCATGCCAAGGAAGTAGTCGATTTAAGTTTCTCTTAGCCGTTGGACTTTATATAGATATAAACATGTGTTATATACAACATCAAAGTTTTCTGATGAAATAATTTCAGTAAAAGATGTTACAGTTTGAAACTTGATATACTGTTTAAGATATATATTTCTTAGGGCTGAATAACGCTCACATACAAGTAAAACATGAAATTCATCTTCAATAAAAGATATACCATTTTCTATACAATCTTTACATAATCGTTCAGTGTATGGGACAATAGTGTATCTCCCCAAGTCAATTGCAAGTTTAAACTTGCTACATCTGAAACCAGTCATATACATATTCTCAGATGTACTGGTATGGGGAGTGTAAGATATTTTTCTACATTTAACAGGGATTTAAAATGTTTATAATAAAAGGTATCAGATATACTATTGATAGAACTACACCATGATTGTTGAAGGTTATCAAATAATCTTTGCCTAAAAAGATGAATAAATATCTTCACATTGCCAACATCTTGTGTTAACCATACATATCCAAAACCTAATTTAACAAAATATTCTTAATGTGAGTAGCCCATGTGGTGCGACCAGATTGGTCCAGTGATTTGAACATTAAATAACATTGGCGAGGCAGTCTGTGCTCGTCAACGCTAACAGTAAAGGATCGATTAATCCGAAACCAGGCTTACGAAATCGAGCTCAAACGGCGAATCAAATAGCAACAAACTTTCATCGGGCTAGTTGAGTACGAGTTACGGGTCAGACGATTAGAAAACGTCTACATGCAGCTCATCTCTATGCTCGACGGCCACGTGTTGTGCCGCCCCCTACAAATCGTCACATTGCCATCCAACGTCAATGGTGTACACAACGTCGAAACTGTTGATCGTCACTGGTCACGTATTTCGTTTTCAGATGAGTCCTAATTCACTTGACAGGCGTGAAAAACTGTATACATGATATCATTATGCTCAAATATGCTTCATAATTTTTTTTTAATATAGTATGCTCAAGTAGGTTTCATAAATTGTTTTTGAATGTAACTGCATGAATGAACAAACGGTGTATGTATCAACTGGGTCTCGTCGCTATATGGCTGAAAAAATTCCGATGCGACGTTAAATGTTAACTCACTTACTGATAGGCGTGACCGTGTCCTGCGACGTCGGAATGAATGTCAAGCCAATGTCAACCTGAGATGTCATGACAGATTTACTGGATCGGTTATGGTGTGGGGTGGCATCACTATGACTGAGCAAACCCCCTCCATATTTTGTAAGTTTTGAATATCCGGATTTGAATGGGTCTTCATCAACACGTGCTTGTCGTAAAAGGCGACTAAGCTAGTCCTAAGAGGCGACTAACGTGATTTTATGGTCAGGCTCGCTGACTTGGGTGATGCATGTCATCGTATCCCAATTGCATGGTTCGATGCTCATGATTATTTAAAAAAACGCCATCATATAACTGGAATATTGCTATAGTTAAGTGCGGAGTTAAACAACAAACAAGAAACAAACATTGCTTTGGGGCAAATAGGATGTATACTCCAGAGCTATGTTATATGCATCGATAGTACATGTAATCCTGTTTCTTACCTTCAATTGTTCTATCTCACTATTCATGTTCATGTTTCTCCAGAGGTTCTAAAGATGACAGACAACGGTTATCTATCTCCCGGATGGTAAATGCTTGACTAAAAACAACAGCAATGGTTGCATGAGTGACAGAGCGATGCCTTTCATTTTGCCGTCTTTGATATGTAAATAGCTTCCACGTTTCAGTGACTTGTCACGCATTTCAGATATAACTGGTGATTGACTTAACGTTTGTATGTGGTCTTTAAGTGCACGATCGCTGAAGCAGCTAATTGATACACTTGAGCTTAAAATCAAATTTTGTCAGCTGTGTACCGTAAATATTTTTGAGTTATATTTTACATTGCTTAATTCTGTAATTAATTCATTAATTCTGTATTTGTCTGTGTGTGCATGCGTGCGTGCGTGCATGCGTGCGTGCGTGTTTGTGTGTGTGTGAACGTGTGTGCGCGGTATTCCCGCGCATGTATGTCTGTGTATTATATATGTATTTTCCCTTTTTGGTGTCTGTAGGTGTGGTTTGTGTGCCTGTGTGGTGTGAGTGTGTTTGTTAAGAAGAACGGGTATTTGTTGTGCCTCTGGTGGAAACTGTGAAGAGGGCCGCATTGTCGTTCTCAAACCACACTCTACTCTCTGAGAAATTATATTCAAGCCAAAACCACGTTTAGCAATAACTGGTTTCGTATTCTTAGTACGTAAACACAAACAATCAAATTAAAATCAGATCTTAGTTCTCGCTACCGCTAAACAAAGATCTGAGGACATCCCATTACGGGTCACGTCAGAACGACCTTTCGCGAATTTTGACCGACCAATGAAATGACTGACAAGAAATCGCCCTTGGCCAATCAGAAGGCAACTTTCTCAAGCTTTACGACACTAGTTTCAAACTGGCGACTACGCATCAAAACATATTTTGACGTATTCTCGATTAAAAATGGCTTATAGATGGCATAGATTGTATGGATATAATCATAAAACATGTAACTGTCATTCGGAATACCCCGTGTTAAATAAATCGTGGTTGCATGATTAGAAAACACATTCCGACTGTCACTTTCATGACCTGGTAAGCGACGCTCTGATTGGTTGGATGAAAGGTCGTTCTGACGTGACCCCTAATGGGATGTCCTCAGATCTTTGTTTAGCGATAGCGAGCACTAAGATCTGATTTTAATGAGATTGTAAACACAAATGTCTTACAACTAGCAAAAACTCCAATTAAGCTGCGTATTTGCGTAAAATAGGCAAACAAAAAACACCATAACCCAATCAATGTTGAGTTGCCTGGGTACAGATAATTATGAAGAAATTCGATAACTCAACATACTCAAGTATACATGAGCATACATCAAGTATCTACTGCACATCTCGCTTATTGTATCACTGTTAGGGGCGGTGGGGTAGCCTAGTGGTTGAAGCGTTGGCTTGTCTCGCCGAAGACCCGGGTTCGATTCCCCACATGGTACAATGCTTGAAGCCCATTTTCCGGTGTCCCCTGCCGTGATATTGCTGGAATACTGCTAGAAACGGCATAAAACCATACTCACATATATATATCACTGTTATGAGGTATGTGATTCACTTGGTGCAGCACACGACCATATGCTAATTACAAGGTACCCGAGCAGAGACGTTTTGTTTGTTTGTTGTTTAACGCCGCACTCAGCAATATTCCATCTATATGACGGCCGTCTGTTAAAAATCGAGGCATCATCAGCATCGATCCCTGCAATTTGGATACGTAAGAGGCGACTAACGGGATCGGGTGGTCAGGCTCACTGACTTGGTTGATACATGTCATCGTATCTTAATTGCATAGATCGATGCTCATGATGTCAATCACTGGAATGTCTGGTCCAGACTCCATTATTTACAGACCGCCATCATATAGCTGGAATGTTGCCGAGTGCGGCGTTTTCCTATCGGAAATGTCACAGACGTGGCGAGAAAAAACATTTGGGCGCAATTCAAAGGACAGGTTGCATTTACTCAAATGTCTCTAGCTTTTCGAACTGAACAAATAACGGAATACAATTCATTACGTTGTGACACTGTCGTGTATTACATGTTCAAATACGATTAAGTGATGTTTTGGAGCTTTGATCTTAAAACATGAACGAAGGACTTGGACTGCCGACTTAAAGCCATGTACACGGTGTTTACAGAGTGTCTTGTTTTGTGGCAACCATTCATAAAATGTCACGTGTGCTCTATCCCTTGGGTTGATTGATAGTAAATATTGATGCCTGCCCATAAAGGAGTATTTAAAACAATGGCGGCTTGACAATAAGGGTTCGTGTACTGTCATTTGCTAACGAGAAGCAGTCTTTGGTTCGTTAAAGTGTCCTTTTCATTTTCAGACATGAATACTTCAAAGGCGGTGTCATTATTTGAAAGGACACAGGTGGCCCAGTCGTCTAAGACACCGGGATTTCTTGCGCAGAGTTGCGTCCCTGAGGCGTGCCAATATTCTATGATTGCTGGCTCGACTCTTATATTCGCCCTGATTATTTTTCCAGGTGTGACAGAACCATTCCTGTGCTCGTGTCAAACGTCTAAAATCTGCATCCCTTCAGAATTCCCATCTCATCAAAACGATTAAACTCATTCACTCACTCTTGATAGGTTTGTTTGTCGTTTAACGCCGCACTCAGCAATATTCCAGCTATATGACGGCAGTCTGTAAATAATCAAGTCTGGACCAGACAATCCAGTGATTGGCATCAAGCGCATCGATCTACGCAATTGGGATACAATGACATGCATCAACTAAGTCTGACCACCCGATCCCGTTAGTCGCCTCTAACAACAAGCTCAGTTGCCTTTTACGGGCGATGCAGGAGGAAAGTGGAAGCTTTGCAATGTCCACTGATGTAGTCTCCACTAAACAACCTTCCAGATGAATACCCCTGACATCCTACCGTATCTGGTGATCACATTAGTGAATTGCTTGACAAACTTTCGAATCCACATCTATTATACCCCAAATACGCGCATGCTTAAAAACTAATCAATATAGGTACGACTAAGTCTGGACACAATCTTCTACATTCCTGAAAAAATGTCAAAAGCCATATATATGTATGGTGCCCGTGACGATACTGGTTAGAATAGGTCTTCTGCAAACCATGCTTCTCGTAAAAGGCGACTATGCGTGTCGTAAGAAGTGACAAACGGGATCGGGAGGTCAGACTCACTGGTTGATGCATGTCATCGTATCCCAATTACGTGGATCGATGTTCATGATGTCAATCACTGGATTGTCTTGTTCAGCCTCGATTATTTACAGACCACCGTCACATAGCGGGAATATTACATGATAGCGTACTCTGACATTGTCGAAAAACACATGCAAATGCAAGTCAAGTGTTCACCTGAAAATATACAGGATCATATGGAACAAGTCTAAATATGGAATTGTATCGGACATCGTTTGATCATACAGCCTTGTGGGTAGTATTTTGTCTGAATTTGTATGCATACATTTAAATAGAAGACATATGAGGCGGTATCACTGATCTCCTTTAATTCTGAGCTCAGGGGGTTAAATGAGTGGAAGAGAATTGGCTATTTGATCATTATTGAACGACATAAGATCATTGATATACGAAAACACGTCAAGGGCTCTGGGAAGTTTGAGGTTTGAATTGCAGGAAGAATACTTTTAGATTTAATTTCTGAGGAGAAATTCCCATTCAAATCCTCATTTCAAAACGCTTATAAGAACATCAGAATCATGGCACAGAGAAATACCAGTATTCCAACTGTAAGGCATTTAAAGAATCGAATCTGGACCAGACAAACCACAGAGTGACAGGCAATCAGCCAATCCACCCATCTTGACCATGCGATCCTTTCAGTCTCCTCTTACAACAATGTTAGGTTGAAAGGGATCGCAATCCCTACGAGGTCAGAAATGTATGCAGGTTAACTAGGGGGTCGATACTTCAGATATGCATTATATTCTGACACACTAGTGTATCAGGGTAGCATGTCCATCGAACTCAAAACGTGTATCGATCATTCCTCTGGCCTGCTGATACCAAATACCGGGTGTTTGGGGGCCCGTGTCTGTGAATAATTCAAGATCAATATTCACCTAGAGTTGTAGTCAGACTTGGAGTTTATGTATCAGGAATGACCTTGCCTCGGGTATTAGTTTACTTTAATGAATCACGTTATGGAACAGCAAGTCACCGATCGTTTGACTTGGTTGATGAGATCTGCAATGACCTACACAATGTAGTTAATGGGCTGGCGTCGCCGAACCCTCTGCAGTCTGCTATCAGATACATAAATAATATGCGCGCGACAGACAACATTGAAACGACCTGTTAACGCCGCTTCTGTCCACTGGTTATATCATTTTGGTGAACCAAGAATGTGGGAATAGTTTTGACAAGCAAAGGCAAACCGGATCTTGCCCAGTAAAGGACGCAATTCTGCACATCAAATTATGGCGCATTAACCGCTATGACAAACGTGAACCCACCCCCACCCCCACCCCCACCCCCACCCCAAGAGTTACACTAATTGTTCCCAATGTAATGGAATTGTTCAGCCGAAACTTGGACATTAATGATGGATACTCACTTTGATTGAAAGGAAGAGAAACGCACCTGTCTCTTCTGCTACAAACACCATTTCCAATGACAGAAGAGAGGAGCTGTATGCAGGTTTTACTAAAAATGGTCTGGATGTTAGTTGAAACCCCCGTTAGTCTTCACACAGTGGTTGCTCAGTGTCTATATATAATCGTAATTTGGGACTTGGATTAATTTTCAAAAAAAAGTTTCTGCGCAGAATGTCCAGATTGTAACCCACTACACCCTGTCTTAATGCAGACACCAGATTGTAACCCACTACACCCTGTCTTAATGCAGACACCAGATTGTAACCCACTACACCCTGTCTTAATGCAGAAACCAGATTGTAACCAACTACACCCTGTCTTAATGCAGACACCAGATTGTAACCCACTACACTCTGTCGTGTTGCAGACACCAGATTGTAACCCACTACACCCTGTCTTGTTGCAGACACCAGATTGTAACCCACTACACCCTGTCTTAATGCAGACACCAGATTGTAACCCACTACACCCTGTCTTAATGCAGACACCAGATTGTAACCCACTACACCCTGTCTTAATGCAGACACCAGATTGTAACCCACTACACCCTGTCTTAATGCAGACACCAGATTGTAACCCACTACACCCTGTCTTAATGCAGACACCAGATTGTAACCAACTACACCCTGTCTTAATGCAGACACCAGATTGTAACCCACTACCCCCTGTCTTAATGCAGACACCAGATTGTAACCAACTACACCCTGTCTTAATGCAGACACCAGATTGTAACCCACTACCCCCTGTCTTGTTGCAGACACCAAATTGTAACCCACTACACTCTGTCTTGTTGCAGACACCAGATTGTAACCCACTACACCCTGTCTTAATGCAGACACCAGATTGTAACCCACTACACCCTGTCTTGTTGCAGACACCAGAGTCTAACTCACTTCACCTTGCTTGGTGCAGACACCAGAGTCTACCTCACTTCAACTTACCTTGGTGCAGAAACCAGATTTGTAACCCACTTCACCTTACCTTGGTGGAGACACCAGAGTCTAACTCACTTCAACTTACCTTGGTGCAGACACCAGATGGTAACTCACTTCACTTTGAGATAATGCAGACACCAGATTGTAACTCACTTCCCCTCGTCTTGGTGAAGACACCATATTGTAACTCACTTCCCCTCGTCTTGGTGAAGACACCAGATTGTAACTCACTTCCCCTCGTCTTGGTGAAGACACCATATTGTAACTCACTTCACAGAGGTTTAGACTTGATTACCACCACACCTCAACAGATGCAGACACTACACCATGGAACAGGTCATGCATTATATATCCAGTGGATACGTCGTTACAATGAAGTCACAACATATACTGAACGTTTCCCATCTTGTTGACGCAGCTGCAGACATGCGCTGCCATTACATAAAAATACTGATGACATGTTTCACCTTCTGTATTGTGCAAGAAGATTGTTCAGGTGCAAGTCAGGTGTGTGTCTGTAGGGCGCATTCTGGTTATTACAGTCACAAGGAAAGCTTTTATCTTTACACATAAAGACAAAAACAAGTCTTGAAATTAATGGTTTTGATGTAGAATGACAATTTGGTGTCGACATGTGTCCTGTCTTTTTGCCTGCTTTGCCGAGGCGGGTCATGGGGTACTTCTTGAATGTCAGGTTGCAGACATTTACAGCGTGAGTTGGTGATTGAGTGAGTATGGTTTTACGCTGCTTTTAGCAATATTCCAATAAGATCAGGACGGGGGACACCAGAAATGAGCTTCACACATTGTACTCATATAGAATCGAACCCGGGTCTTCGGCGAGACGAGTGAACGATTTAACCTCACAACCACCCAACCTCCCAAAATGGCAACTAGAATGACAAGGGGCAAAACAATTGTTGAAGCCACTGAACACTGTGGCAATACGGTACTCTTCACTCTGGAGAAAATAGTGAATGAGTGAGTGAGGTGAGGGGAAATGGGGTTTAACGACGTATACGTGTATGTGTTTGCGTGGCTGCTTGTACAAGTCCGGACTGATGCCGATTTATAGTGCTAGCTCACTGAGATACCATGCCGCAGGTTAACATGAATACCCCACTCAGACACAGTACACTGACTACGAGCCGACCAGTCCTTGATTAGCCCATTTGCCAGCGCCAGACAGGGTAACAACAAGTACCATCTTTTAACGTTTTATGGTATGACGCGGCAAGGTTTCGAAGCCAGGGCCTTCCGCTCTCCGGGCGGAAGCTCTACCTGAATGAGTGAGTGAGTTTACACGACTGCAAGTCTTCTTATATAAAAACACGAAGCACGCATTGTTGGTTTTAATCTACCCTTTTCACGCACATATTTCTCTTCATCCATTAAACAACCCGTGGATATCCGGAGTAGAATAGGTCTTCGGCAACCCATGCTTGCTGTAAAAGACGATTATGCTAGTCGTGAGAGGCGACTAACGGGATCGGGTGATCAGACTCACTGCCTTGCTTGATGCATGTCATCGTATCCCAAACGCCTGGATCATTGCTCATAATATCAATCACTGGATGGTGGCCTGGTCCAGACTCGATTATTTACAGACCGCCGTCATATAGCTGTTATATTGCTGAGTGCGGTGTTAAACGAAAAAAACAAGTGAACAAACAAAACCATAAAGTAATACAATATCAAAATGATCTTATATAGTCCAGGTACATTGAATGATGACTTCTGTGTCAGGTTAAATTTTGATCCTTGTTTCAAATGTGAGAAGAAAAAAATAAAGACAACTAATTCATTTTGTTATTATTTTTTTATGACAAGCTTAGAAATGTTCTATTACATAACGTCTACGCCATACCAATTTTCGCATTGGTATTCACTGATTTTAAGTAGCAATGCAGATTTCAAGGTCGATGCAAAGGTTAATTTAAAGCAGGGCAAACTTATATACATGTACTTAGAACGGAAGGAATTCTACGAATTATTTTACTATATTTATCTCCTCCTCTTTGATTTCCCTATTCTTCCATGTTGTCCGAACATACTGTACATATATTCGTAGAGGGTCTAGTTTATCGTGATGCATTTCATACAATCGTAGAGGGTCTAGTTTATCGTACTGCATTTCATATAATCGTAGAGGGTCTAGTTTATCGTGATCCATTACATCATTGAAAACACGATGGAATCATTGGAGGGACGTTGTCGCGTTAATATTACATATTCAATAGGTAATCTTTTCCTTTAAAGCACAATTCCCATACTGAAACTCAACCGACCTTTGCATTTTCTCGAATCTATACTCGTATTCTAATTACTTACCTTTTTACTATGACCCGTCCTGCTTGGTGCTTCTAGTCGCCTTCAGCGCACGGTGGTACTTACACAACTGTGACTGTGTTCAGAGATGCAGCATGTAATACCGTGTCACCTATTAACTCTCAGATCAGGAATAGTAAACACATGATGAATAGATGGTCAATTGGCTAAACTGACTCAAACTGAATTTGAATAGTAAGAAGATCCATTGTGTAAAAACAATATCAGGGCAACGATTTCACAATGTTGAAACAACAAGAAAGGGAGCTATAACAGCCGAACAGGTGTTCACATCCCAAGTGGTTATTGTTCTGAACACTATTCTATCCTTGACAAAGGAATCATAAGCCATTCAGAAAGTGATACGTTTTTATTATTTAACTTTATTCATTAGTCATGTAATGCTGATTGAATTACGGCAAACAAATATATAATTCACACAGTAACCACACTATGAAGTACCAGTAATGTGAGGGATGATTCACGGAAGAGTTAACATGTGTGACAGGATCCTAATGTACACATGTGACAGCGGCCTATCGATAGCAGAATTGTCGATGTTTGTGATAGTTTTATGATAAATCTATATGCTGTCAATTTGCGGACATCAGATGTTTCCTGTTCAAGCAATTCAGACCATCGCCAGAGATTTAATTCTAAAGACTTGATTTTGAAGATTTGTTGCCCCTCAGTAGGGGCTGTTTGTTTGTTTGTTTGTTTTATTTCTTGTTTCTTGTTTAACGCCGCACTCAGCAATATTCCAGCTAAATGACGGCGGTCTGCAAATAATCGATTCTGGACCAGACAATCCCGTCATTATTATCATAAGCATCGATCCACGCAATTGGTATACGATGACAAGCACTCTGACCGCCCGATCCCATTCGTCACCTCTTACGACAAGCATAGTTGCCTCTTACATCAAGCATGGGGTGCTGAAAACCAATTCTAACCTAGTTTTTATGGGTCTCACAAACAATGACCTTGAACAATAGGGATTGCGCGACATGACGGCCATGACGAAAATTAGATTTGACCTCTAAAGCAAATTGGGTCATTATCAAGATTGGAAAATTTCAGCTTCACTGCATTATTTGTGTCTCGGGTGATGATGCAAAAATATAATATAAAATGTAAACCACAAGAGAATATTATCTGACAAAATCAGATTCTATTGGGCATAAAAGACAAAATAGCAGTGAAAACTATATGAATGGATCACTGAAAATCAGTGGTGATATCAGGTGTTCGCGAAAAGGGCAAGTGTTTTTCAGAGAATGCATTTGCAAAGAATTTAGGAGTATGGTCCAAATATAGGTCAATTCAAGGTCACAAAATAAACTTTGCAAAACATTCTCTTAATTATCATGTCTCATTTAAAGCTTGATTTGTCCAGTGATTTCTAAGGAGAAGATGTCAGACCAGATGGGCTAATCATGAGCATCGATCTACGTAATTGGGATACGATGACATGCATCTAATAAGACAGCAAGCCTGACCAACTGATCCCGTTAGTCGCCTCTTACGACAAGCATGGGTTGCTGAAGACCAATTACACGACGATCGTCACGGGTTTATTGGGAATGTACAAAGTAAGAACAATTAACAATTAAGGCCAGGCTGTGACCACAGATTGTGTTGTTGAAAGAAATCAAATGACGCCAGTCACATTTGCTGATGAATGGATCTACAAAGAGTCAGAGACTACAGTATCGACTACTAAGTATAGTCCTTGATATTGCTTTAAAAAAATAAATGGCCAAATCAGAAACAGACTGCACTTCATAAAAAAATATAAGGTCCCATGTTCCCGAATTTGAAATTTCCAAACATCGGAATTGATACCTTAAACTAAAGTAACATTCTCAAACAACATTCATTTCCCTAAATGTCCCTCAATATTTCAAATTTTATGAACCACCAACAGATTCATTTTCCTATACGAACACTATTTCATCCAGGTTGTTCAGTTATAGGATGGTGTTGCAGAACGTGGACATGGCAACTCCATGATACTGCCACCAACCTGTTGGTCACATAATCACAAGTGACTTCTCTGACAATAACAACCTTCGTCAGTTTATCAAAATCTGGACCAGAATATCGTGAACCACTTGCAGCTACTTGGGATCACCATCATTATGGATGCTGTGCAAGCGTTTGCAAAAACAGGGCCAATAGAGAAGATAATTTTTTTGAATGGGTTTCGAAGTCGGTTAAGTCAGTGTGTGTTGTCGTCTCTGGTAGAATGCGATGAAAAGTGAAAACAGAATTTGTAATAAACCCATTCTGTCTCTGTCGGTTAACATTAAGGCCAGGCTGTCCAACAGGAAAGGTTTTTTGTAGTTGTTCCCACTGACAAGGACTAAATAACATAACAATTATATGTAAGCATCACGACATCATTGTTTGAAAAATAAAAATAAATGGTATAATGCTGGATTCCAAAGCTCAATTAATATAGTAGTACAAAAGAAAGAAATACATTACTTGATCCAGCAATTGTTCCACCAAATCCCTGTCTCAAAGGGTAACCACAATCCTAAATACAATCAGGTGAGGACTTGGGGATGGGGATTCTCAAAAACTCAAATGATTTGCTTTAGTTATTACAATCTCAGAAAAGAACCAAGTTCAGTTATGTCAAACCATTTTATTTTTTAAACTTTGCACACCATTATCTCACACGACAAACTTGGAGGAAAACTTCATTCCTTGACCCATGGGGCTTTTGTTACTAAATGCGGTGACCATAGATATAGTTCCATCTTCAAAGATTCAGGATAATTTGTCAATAGCAATGCCATGGGCACCATTACCACTTGTGATCTCACCTTTTAATTCGAGTTAAATCCATACAGCTCCAGCCTTTTGTGGAGGAGATCAGACAACCCTCATACACTGGTACAGGTCACTGATCCGCTCTAAACTTGAGTACGGCTCCATCGTCTATGGTGGAGCCTG